TATAGCATTGGATGCAGATATGAGGAAGTATGGGAATGCATAGGCCCATTGTAAGCTATTTCTTTTTGTGTGTAAATTCTCAATGCTTTGTATTGAAGACAATATGTTTAGTTTTATTTAATTTTCAAGGGGAGCGAGAGGGTCTTAGTTGCCTTACTCCTATAAGCGTGCTGAAGTAAGATTTCCATGACATTCAATGTTCAATAGCTGTTTAGAAGTTGTGTTTCATCTGTCATTTACTTGAGGCGAAAAAGGCCTACATGTAGCTAGGCATATAAGTTACCGAAATATCATTTTGTTGGGCGGCTTCGGCTTCAGGGGCGGCGATTTCTTGTTATGGCCGTGGGGGGGGGGGGGGGGACACAATACATGTGTTATACCTCCGATATATACCAAAAAGACATTACATAATGTTACAGTTATGATTGTCATGCGGTGGAGCATAGTGCCCGAGCGAGAAGATTTCCCGGTATCTTTTAAATAGTGTAAACGTTGCATTATCGCTTCAGAATCTAAAAATATGTTTCAGCCCTTACTCATCATAAGACTAAATTTTGTTAATGCACTTTTTTAAAGTTCCTGTCCGGGGGGGGGGGGGGACACGTGTCCCCCGGTCTCCCTGGGATCACCGCCATAGTCGATATATCTTTTCATCTTTTGCACTAGTGCACCTAGAGCATTTCATTTTAAGTTGATTTGGCGTTTTAAAATCTGTTATACTATATCATAATCATTATTACTATGAGCATTATTATTATTATTATTGTAATCATTTTTTTACTTTCATTACTATTACCATCATTATTATCATTATTATTTATGTCGTTACAATGAAAACTGTACTAGCATTGATTGTCAGGTACTCATTTAATACACTAAGGTGTCTCCGGAGGGACTGTGGGCAAAACATAATGTCTAAGAATGCAAGCCCCGAGCAAGGTTCGAGCCTGGTCCCTCTGGTTTGAGATTCAAGAGCCTTCACCAATATACCACGGTGCTCCCATTGCTACGTTTATAGATGGTTAGAACTTGTGTGTTGGCGCCTTAAGCCTTAGATGGATACGTGCGCAATATAAATGTAGCTATTATTATTATAATAAATATTATATTTTTACTTTTATTATCATTATTGTTATTTTTATCATCATAATCATCATCGTCATTATTATAAATATTATTATTATTATACAGTAGGCTTGCGGGTGCACCATGTGTGAGAGAGAGAGAGAGAGAGAGAGGGAGGATTGAGGAGTCCTGAAAAGGGACTCTGGGTAATCTTTCTTGAGGGTGTATAGTCCTGAAAAGGACTACACTCCTGACGACGGATAGTCAATCTATTCGAAACGTCGAGCCACTCCCACCACCCATCCTCTCCAAGCGCTATAGTTCTCCTTGGAACTATAAACTAAGAAAGATAACAAACAGTCCTTTTCAAGACTACACCAACAGTCCTTTTCAGGACTACACACCCTAAAGAAAGATTACATACATACATACATATGGGTATTTATATAGATTACCGAGAGTCCTTTGCAGGACTCCTCAATCCTCCCTCTCTCTCACATGGTGCACCCACAAGCCTACTGTATATCTACATCACCATGCAAGCCGATACTTACAAGCAGCTTTATTATTATTATTATTATACAAACGAACGAATACACAACCTACTCTACAATAAGCATCATCTTAATCACTTTTGCAGACTACAGATTGATCACAAAAGATCGACCCAATGCCGGCATCGTTAAGGCTTTTAACCAGAACATCGGATGGGGGCTCGTTTGTGATGAATATTGGAGCTTCGAACTAGCAAGCATAGCTTGTCGTCAGCTAAACTTCCCAGGAACTTCTTTCCATCTTAAGGCAGTGGCTTTCAACGACGAGGAAGATAAGTGGCCGATGTCAGTCACTAATAATATATCAACATATTTTACAGGCTGTTCAATTAGTAAGTGTGATATGAAACTGTACAGTACTAATTGAAAAATATATTATACAATAACAACAACTGTTTTTTGTATTGCTGTATATGTTACCCATATTGTACATGTTGTATATGTCTTGTATACCCTGCCAGTGACATAATTGTCTATTGTATACTACATTGTGTTATTACGCTGCATAAAGATGATACGTATATTTATATAATGAAAATAATAACATTTATTTTAATAATTGTAATAATAATAATAATAATACACTGTTAGAAAGAAATTTTAAACAACCACAAGTTAACCGGTGAATCGCTCAACTGTTGTTTAAAAATTAAACAACTTAAGGTTATTTACGTTTTGAACACTTAGTTGTTTAAAAATTAGAAAAACTTTTAAACAACAGTTGTTTAGTAATAAAATTGCACAACTCGGTATTTAAAGCAAGTTGTGTAAATGTTAAAAAATAATGTTTAAATTACTAAGCAACTGTTGTTTATTCAATATTACTGCACAACTGGGCTGTTTAAAAGGAGTTGCTTAAATTTTAAACAGAACTGTTTAATGGTTATTATCTGGTTGTTTGAATTTGTGAATGACCTACTGGAACCACTCCTGCAATAATCACAACGATTACACTGTAACATGTAGTCAGAGCTTGTTGCCAATTTACTTCAACATTTTTTCATCATATTCATTTAAGAGTGACAGACAACATTATTATTTGTCTTTATAACTTCACCTAGACCCCATCGGCGAAGCCGAGAAGAACCAAGTCGTCGCCCTGCCCTTTTCGTCTGCACTGCACTGCACTAGCACTTGCACTGCACACTAACACTGCATGCTTGCATGCATGCACTATGTACATGTACTTTTTGCATATCGCATGTGTGCGCGCAAATTGCAATTGCGTATCGAGAAAATATCAACGACACGAAATCATGATTGGTTAAATCTATCACGTGATTTTTTCCCCCGGGACTTTTTAAACAACTCTGTTTAATTAAATCTTTTTGTTTTTCAATAGATAGTTGTTAAAGCTAATTGAGCACTGATTTTTCGATTTTGAACAACGTTGTTTAAAAATGTAAACAACGTTGTTCAAAATCGAAAAATCAGTGCTCAATACAGTGGTATTTTAAACACCGTTCTAACTGTGTACAAATAATAATAATGATAATAGTAATAATGATAATAATGACAGCAATACCATTAATAATAAACAATAATAACGGTATTAAACGAATACCATTACTTATACTAATACTACAAATATTGATAATAATAATAATGACATGAATAATTATAATAGTACTGATGAAAATAATGATAATAATAATGATCATAACAATAATAACCCGATACTATCTACGATCTCGTATCCCAAACACCCACATACTCGTATCCCAAACACCAACATACTACAGATGGAAATAGAATTTATTTGAAGGAATTGTAATTAATCCTTTTTCAGATGGGACTAATATGCAATGTCAAACGTGCGACAGTGAATGTAGCTGCGATCTCGATACATCGATAGGAGCTGTTACTTGCAAAGGTAACACTGTTATGTTGTTTGCTTATCACTTTTAGTTCACATATTGATGTATATGTATGCTTCTGCCTTCTGACATGTTCTTACTTCATTCAATTGGTCTGAAAAGTATTCGTCAACACTATTCTCTCCATGTCACATCAATCCAGATGATATTCAAATACTCACTTCATTCAAACTTAACCAAAGCAAAGCAGCCAGCTCTATCCATAACCTTGAAGCTTCTGTACAGGATATTCATAATTGGTTAAACTCGCATTCATTGAAACTAAATCTTTAAAAATGTGAATTTGTATTGTACTGGTAAAATTGGTAAAATACTCAATAAAAAAGGGGCAACTTTTACTTCCATTGACCTTGGTGGCCACAATTTTGCTGTATGTGATGTATTTCGTTACATCGGCGTGTTTTTGCTGAAACGTGTCTCCACAATTTCACTACGACTCTAAATTTGGGCGCCATTTTTGGATTTCAGAAAGACCTCAGCTCAGATGGTCTTACTGCTACTTGTGCGTTTCAAATTCATTAAGTATTGTAATGAGTTTATTGTGCTAAAAACAAATATTTAGAAATTAAAATTAAATTTGGGTTATCTAGTTGCAAATTAATAACAAATTCAGGAAATGGCGACCATGATTTTGGACGCCATCTTGGATTGCGGAAACACTCAATGAGGATTTATGAGGACTTTTAGTAAGTTATTATAGACATATTCCTGGACCTATCCTGAAAAAATCAGCTTGTTATGAGCAATGTCCATGTTAAAACTAATGCTCTTGGCCTATATGTGGATAGTGGCAAAATAAGGTAGATTGATGTGTTAAAAATGAAATAAGTGCCCTGACAGGGATTCGAACTCCGTACATTGTGCTTCGCAGTCCTCCGCTAGACCATGACATCAAAAATATATTAAATACATAGGAGTGTTGGCTCAGTCAGTAGAGCGTCCGCCTCACAACCGGGAGGTCGTGCGTTCGAACCCCGGCCGCGTCATACCAAAAGACGTTAAAAGATGGGAGTTGTTGCTACCTTGTTTGGCGTTCAATAATAAGGGATAGAGCAACGTCGATCTGGCGCTGCTCAGTGGCTGCCGGGCTCACGATTAATTGGGCAAAAAGAATTTCCGTTTCGGTTTAATAAAATTTGGAGTGGACTATTAGGCTATTATTATTATTATTATTAAGATGAAAAATGTTGTGCAGTTAATGCAAAATAAATCTAACGAGGGAGTTCTATAAAGGAACTAGCTGAATGTTGCGGGTGTTTTATTATTATATTTTTTAAATATCATTTTTTTTAAATTTCAGAACCAGGATATCTTGGATGTTTCAGTGATTATAACTATTTAGGACCTGGCAGAGATCGTGTGTTTTCTAATGGTTATGTTTCCTATGACTATCTCACGATTGACCAGTGCATCAATGCATGCGAAGATGGTGGATACTTCTACTCAGGTGTAGAATTCGGGCGCCTATGTTTCTGCGGAAGACAAGATGAAAACCTTATCCGACATGGAATCGCTTCGGATGGGGAATGTGATGATGTTTGTGCCGGAGATCGCCTTGAATCATGTGGGGGCGAAGATAGAATCGCTATCTACCAAGGTATTGACAAGAGCGATTCTAGATTTGTTTTAAATATTTTTTCATTGAGGGGGGGGGGGGGGGGCACTCTACAGGAGGGATTTAAGGGGCTGGAGGGTGTTGCGGATTCTTGCATTTCATGTGTCTCGCGATTTTGTCTTTGCTAAAAACAAACTAAAACGCATTTGAACATACTGCCAAAGGTGATCACGAGGCGTTGTTGAGTTATGTATTAAAGATCCTAGAAATACTAATGTTAACAATTAATGACATCTATTATTTAAAGGAAATAATCCCATCTCCTATAATTTTATTCATTTTTGGACAACATTGCCTGCTAAAAACCTACAGTATTAATTATAAACAAATTTCTTAATGTACTTTTTAATTTCTTGTCACTGAATGGCTTTAAATGAAATTTCGATTTTCTCTAATTGGGGTTATTGACCTTATTCATGATGTTTGTCTAGTTTTCGCACATGTTATATTGCTAAAAAGTCTCGAAATATGACATTATTCGGTGTCATTCCAATTTGTGTTTCTAAGTTGGCCTAGGTGTCTGCGAAGACCCTGGTACCCCTACTAATGGATTCAGATACAAGGAAACCGGCTCTCTGCGCTACGGCAGTAAGATATATTTTAACTGCTCCGATGGGTACACACTAGAAGGACCTGGCGTTATCCAATGCGTGCAGATTTACGGTCGCAGAAAAAATGTAAGCATCGCTAACAGCACCCATGCCATTATGTGGAACCATGGTCTTCCGAAGTGTACAGGCGAGTATTTTTACATTATCACTTTTTATAATAATTTGGTTCACGACATTAATTTTCCATGAGTAGATGTAGGTTCTGTTTAGTCTAGAATGATTTTAAAGTGTACCAATCATTACAAATGTTTGGCTCTTGATGTGAGCTAATGATCGTTATGATAGTTGTTATGTACTCTTAATTAAAATGTACACATATAATTACTCGAGACAGATAATAGCACACGTTTGATACTCCTGGTATAATAGTCCAAAGCAAGTTTATTTCCCATGCGCAGCTTTACAATTGTGGGTCATTGTATGCCGTCATCAATATGTAACAATAATAATGATAACACTCCTATTAACAATAATTTAAATAACAACAACAACAACAAGATAAATACAAAATATGATAATAATTCTAATTCAAAACTCTAATTATATTTATCTCATATCACTATTCAGTCCCTATGCACTTTAATTTTGAGGATAAAGAAATGGATAGAATTGGACTATATACCTACAATACAATTTAAATCAAATACCGAGCAAACTTATCTTAAAACTAATGGTGAACAAACTGTTTTTTGTTGTTGATTGGCCAATATTTACTATTTAAACATCTTTATTTAACCGTGTCTCATGTTTGTGTACCGTGATGTTCAGGATTCAGTTCGACTACACCCTCTTCTGCGACTACCACGGGCGGAGGGCTAACTAACCAAATGACATTCATTCCGACAACTGACCAAGGGCACCAGAGTGGTAAAAAGATACTTATTACGTCACAATTCCTGTACGATTCTGGTAATATGGATGCACATGAAATGGTTACATGCAAATATCCCAGCGATTATTGACGATTTCATCATGAAATTCGTGAAAAGAATAATAATAATAAAATATTAATGATAAGATCGATGAATAAAAAAAGAGAGATAATTATCAGTACATTTTTTCGTGTATTGAATACAACTGTATTTCATGATAGCCTCAATTACCACACATCATATAGGCATAGGTAGAGTTAAAGAGAAGGTTGAGTTCTGGGGAGAGGTGAGAAATATTTGGTGAGCATTATCTTTTTTCATTATGCAAGTGTGGAAGACCATCAGAGAAAAAATGTTCCCTGAAAATCATGGCTCTTCAAATGCCTTCATATCCTAAATATGACAAGTGACAGCTTAAAAATGAGGTCCAATTTTTATGCCACATGTGCGTAGTAGTCACTTATACATCTCTCTGTGAACAGTGCTTGTAGCTTTACCAAGACTGGGCAGAATTTCTTATCATTTTGACGTCCCCAGAACCTTGCAGTACACACCAATACTTATATGATACATGGTTAACTTTTTCTGATCGATTCCAAACTGCTTCTTTCACAATGCAATCTCTTGACAGAACTCAACTTTATCTTCAAGTTGCTATTTGAGTCTATACCCGGTTTATCTGTTTGTACTAGTATGTAAAAATGTGTAAAACTAGAAAGGGAATTGTCTTGTCTTCGTGCCCTGTGCCCCCTAGCAAAATCATTGTATGGTATTGAAAATGTCTGTGGACTATAGCAGTGGTCACTCATTTAGAAATTTCATGTGGCTCATACCGGCCTACAAATTGTAACACACCTATAACAATTTCTTTTCTTTTCCTAGGTCATCAGGTCATCATATATATCAGTATTGGCATCGTCTCTGGCCTCCTCCTCATCATCGCCATCATTGTCGTGGTCGTTATTTGCAAAAGACATAGAAGGTAAAGCTTATTAATATTATGATGTCTCATATTCTTTAATGCTGTACGCGTTTTGATGTGCTGATTCGCACGGTACTGATTTCGTCTTTTACGTCCAAGACGTGAAAATCAATAAAATTGACGTATTCCTATGCAACAATTTTGTTGTAGTTTTCGTCCGAGACGTGAATATAAAAATAAAATTGTTTGGGAGACATGAACCCTTTACATGTACACGTAAAGCATGGTATGCCTTACATCATCGTATGAATTGGGAGACGTTAGTATACTTTGTTGGGAAGTTATGCACTTTGCCATTTTGGCGAAAAAAATAACAAAACGTTTCAAAAAGGCGGTATAAGCGCTATTGACAGTTGTACATATGGTATTGCAATTCGCGCGAGAACTAGGAATTGGAGACATGAACCTATTACATGAACACGTAAAGCAAAAAGTTCCTTACTTCATGATATAAAGTGGGAGACGTTAACATACTTTGTTGGGAAGTAATGAATATCGCCATTTTCGGGATTTATTAACAAAAACGTTAAAAGAAGGTGGAACACGCGCTATTGACAGTTTTATACACATGGTATTACAATTTGTGCAAAACTAGGAAAGAGACACATGGATCAATTACATGCACACGTTTAGAGCACGTATAGAGCATCATCATCATCAACATCATCAGTAGTCCATCATCAACATACGCCATTCGTCAGCGCCACCATCCAGATAATTCTATTTTTCTGTTTTGCTGAAAACCTTACTTTGGTTGTTTGACCTCCACCAGCGACCCTTTGTCAGTGTCGGGATCCTGCACGGTCTCAACTTTAGCAAAAGGTTGGTTAGGGGGTGTTAATGGTTTTATAATCACCAACAACCCAATCCAAGTCTTCCTTTTTTCTGTTGTGATTTACGAGGGCCCAGACAGACAACAGTGGAACAACACATATATAATTCAAATGAGCGTTTATTCAAACCGTGCTTAAATTTAGCCTGGAAATAATCTAAATACAATCACATATAAATGATATCAAAGGGTAGTCTATTTATTATAGCGAAAGACTGCCGCTTATCAGCAACACAGGTCACTCGTCAGCGCTACAGTCCACATGTCGTCGTAGTCGATTTGCGTATTAACGTTTGAACTTTGAAGGTAAGAACCTCTTTCTAACCTTCCACGTCTTCGATTTTCGTTTCGTCGTTTGAAGGCCTGAACCTAACTACGACATCGCGACTTTCACTTTTCCGACGTCTTTGGAAACGTGACTTTCCTTTTCCACATCTTCGACATCATCAGCATCAATATCAGCATTATCAAAATATTACTACTGCTACTGCCAGTAAAAAGAGTAATACTAATAATGATGGTATATACAGCGCTTTTAATTTCTAGACGATACAACGCTATACCTCACTAATAATCTTTCTTTCTTTTATTTCAGAGGCTCTAACATCGCTCTAAGGCAGTCAGTCAGTGACAGGGAGGGCCAGGAACTAGATCCCTACACGTCCTTAGATGCAACATCTATGAAGCAACCAGCCTACGAGGATATCAAAGCAACTAGACACGGAAATAGAGGCCACACAAATACAATCGAGGGGGTAGAATATGAAAATCAAACAATAGTTGAGCATCCCTACACATCCTTAGATGCAACAACTATGGAGCAACCAGCCTACGATGACACCATAGCAACTACACGCGGAGATAGAGGCCAAATGAATGCAATCGAGGGGGTAGAATATGGAAATCAAAGAATAGTTGAGCAAACAGCTAGAGTCAAGAAATCAAACTTGAGAGTGGCCGATGAGAATACTGAGCCAAACTACGAGTTCCTGAATTAAATTGATTCCATGAAGTAGGACACAGAACGAGTTTTAAGTACAGTCTTACCTGTCTAGAGAGGTCGCTCATTGTAGACCCACAAAATGGCCACTAGCTGCAGATAGCTTCTACAACATACTTTTCTTTTTCTAGGGAAACAAATACATAGCCAATAGCCCAATACATAACAGACAGGGAGCCTTAATGGAGAGGTGGCCACGAGACAAGTTTGACTGTATAGCATGAGCTCTTTATAAAGTTATAAATGTAGCGAGTTTGTCAAAATATTATAGGCCGTTACTTGAGAATATTTGTTGTTGTTGTTGTTGTTAATTGTTTTTATTCTTTTTATAGCAAATATGATATAGGGTACGCTAGGCCTGTAAAATATCAAGATTTCGGAAAGGATAGGGATTACAACTGCGATAAACAAGAGTGGGATTAGTTTTATTAGTACTGATCTCGAAGGAGGGAGTTTGATTGTATATGTGTCATTACTGTATGATCCTTACACGTATAGTATAGTAATATAGTATAAGTATACTTGAATGAAATGCAAGTGTTCTTTCTAGTAGTATGCCGATGGTGATATCAGTAAGCAAATATTAATCGACTACGAGGGTAATGGTACAAACTATCCTCACCGAGGTGATGATAGTTTGTATCGATTGCCTGAGTAAAAAAAGGAGGCTAATATTTGTTTTATATCCCACATCGGCAATAAGGTATATTTAAAGTGAATTTTACATAATCAAAAGAACTGATTTTGCAGACAGTTTAGCTTTAGCTATATTTTAAAAAGCACAACATGCATATATGTAATAGAGTTGATGCGCGCTCATTTGACATTGACATTGACATTTCGCGTATTAAACCTACTTTGCTATGCTTATTCAATGGGCAAGTGGGGCAGCAGCAAAAAATTACCGTACAAAAGTCCTATCGCAGGGAGATAGTACTTGTCTATCATTGATCATGTGACCTCGTTTAGACCAATCAGATTGCAAGATTCTTTGTATGCGGGATATAATCTTCTTTATCTAATCATGAAAACTAAAAAATACAGTCTATATTGTTTATTTTGGGACGCCAAGATTCTTGTAAAGATTAAGTTGGCGTCCCTGGCATATTATTAATCCACGCCTACTTTTTTTAGGGTAGAATAATTACAATATTAATACTAATGGCAAGTTTACCTAAATGAAATACAGATGCACTTTCTAGTAGTATGCAGATGGTAATATTAATTTATTATTAATAATGATGTCAAAAACAAATCCAGTCTATATTGTCATAGTGTTGATCACAGTGTTGATTATACTTAGTTTTTGAATGATATTATATCTTGTTAATTTTATCTTTGTATGTACTCTCGTAACCTTTAATTTAATAATTGTTTTTAATATGTGCTTTTTCATGTGCTTTTACTGTTAACTGAATGTAATTCAGCTCTTGGGCTGCTAATTTCAGTATTTTTAATAAACCATTCAATGAAATAAAACATTAAAAAGAATAATTGTTGTGGTCCCAAGTTTCTTTTAAACATTTCATTTCGAGCTAAAGCAAGGCCTAGGGTAATTATATTCAAACTCCTTTAGAAGTGTTGGATCATAATGTGATATACCCTTTTCAAGAATGGTTTATTATAATTTATATTATTGTTAATATTTTTATCATAATAATAATTGATATTATCATTCTTATTATCATTATTATGATTATTATCCATATTATCATTATCATTATTATTATTATTATCAATATTACTATTTTTTAATTATCGTTATTATTATTATTATTATTCTAAAGTCCCCGACATATTAATGATTAAAGCCTATATGCTTCGAGGGTAGAATATACATGTTGCGGTGCATGAGGATGATGATGATGATGGTGATGTGGTGCTGATGATCAAGATGATGATGATGGTGGTGGTGGTGGTGATGGTGGTGCAGGTGGTCATGATAATAATGATGATGACATGGGCGATGGTGCACCTTTCAAAGTGGGTTGGGGGCACCAAAAGAAAAGGCACTTCCTGGAAAAAAGGGGCACCTACAATGGGAAACCTCAAAGTGAAAATAAACATTTTAGACAATAAACATACCCCTTTATTGTGATTACACTATTAAAGAAGATCGCCATGTTTATTTCTATTTTTGCATGGTCCAAGATACTACCTAAGTATCATACGCAAACGTTTTAAGATTTGTGAGATCGCAATACCAAAATCTACATCTAATAAAGATGAAGAAAAAAATCCTGATGTTTTTTTTTTAACACAATATTATAATGAAAGACTGAAAAGATCCTTAATAAGAAACATATTTACATCAACTTTACATACTAGTGGGCGTAGCGTGCGACTATGGGTGTAATTAAAAAAAAAGCTCTTAACCGCTTATAATTAGGAGCACATTATATGGTAAAAAGGGGGCACCTATCCAAAGGTAAAATGACACTTATTAGGAAAGAAAAGGAGCACAGTAAAAAGAGTAATTACTGCAGGTGAAAACGGGGCAGTACTCGCAACTACTAAGGGGCACTCACCAGAGATTAAAAAAGGGCACTAACATAAGAACGGAAAGGGGGCAGCCATTACAAAGGTAAGGGGCAATTAAAATGGCATTAATTACATAGGATAAGGGAGCAAGTGTCAAAATAAAAGGGGCATGAATCAGAAATAAAAAGCGGCACTTATTACAATGGTAAAGGGAGCACCTCTCAAATTTGAATAAGGTCATTTATCGAGGATAAAAGAGGTATTTATCAGAATGAAAAGAGGAGATACAAAGGAAATGCGGCATTTGGCGAAATATAAGGGACACATCTCAGATTTGACAAGGAGCATTTCTTGTACCTGAAAAGGGCACTCATCTAAAATGAGTTGGGGCAATTTTGAGAATGGAAAAGGGCACCTATGAGATTTTAGTATAGGCATTTATCAGAGGTGTGAGAAGAGGCATTCCTGAGAAAGGGAAGTGACTCTTATAAAAAAAAAAAGCAAAGGGGCATTCATCAGAAGTAAAAATGGCATTTATTAGAAAGAAAAGAGGGCATGTGTCAAAGTAAAAGAGAACACTTATCAGAGGAGAGAAAGGGGCACTCATCAAAGATGAAAAGGGCGAAGAAGGTAGAGGCACTTATTACAAAAGAAAAGGGCAGTTGTTAAAGAAAAATGGGCATCTCTCAGACGTGAAAAAGGGCTATTACGTAGGTGACGGGGGCACTTATCAGAGGTGGTAAGGGGCACTTATAATAATGAAGAACGGGCACCTCTAAGAAATAATAAAGGGCACTTATCTTAAGTAAAAGGGGGCACCATTCCCATGTAAAAAGGGACACAGTAGAGATACTTGAAAAGCTGGGGGGGGGGGGGGGGGCACTGTGTCCACCCATCCATATGTCAGCTGGCTCCGCCGGCACTGGATGATGAAGATGCCTGGTGGTGGTGGTGGTGGTGGTGGTGATAGCGGTGGCGGTGGTGGTGATGCTGATGATGATATTGATGGTGGTGGCGGTGGTGCTTGGAATGGTGATAATGATGATGGTGAAATGATCATGAAGATGACGAAGATGTTGGTAGTTATGATTATGACCAGGCGCGTACGCAGACGGGGGGGGGGGGGGGGGGAGGGGTTAAGGATTAACCCCCTCAAATTTGTTCGGGTATCAGAGGATAAGCCAGCCCTTACTTTTTGTCAAAAAAAATAAAAAATAACAAATAAAAACAAAACAAAACCATGTGTGTGTTTTTGGTAAAAAAAAAAAAAAATGACCTCCCCCCCCCCCCCCCCTCCCCCCACTGAACCAAATATCGGTCGGCCTAATTTCCCAATTTTCGGGACAAAAATAAAAAATCAAACGGATCCGGGCTAACTCGGACCGAAGACAACTCGGCCCAGCTGCAAAAACGGTCATTTTTTTGTCATTTTACCCTAACCCTAACTCTAACTCTTAACCAAAACCTTACCCTAAACCTGAAAAAAACTGACCGTTTTTGCAGCTGGGCTGAGTTGTTTTTGGTCCGAGTTAGCCGGTGTTTTTAAAACAGTCGACGGATTGTGCATGATATAGATTAGAGGGTAAGTTAAAATTTGGCTCCTCTGAGAATCGGTTGAGAGTTGAATCTCTTCAATTTCATTCAATCCCTGTATGAACACGGAACAGGCGTTACAAAAACAGGAGAATGTGCAGAAACCTTTGACGACTAGCGGAATTCTGTATGAATGGGGAAAACGATGATATACACATTTGCATAATTCACACCGATGAACATCGGTATAGAAAAATTGATGAAAAGATGTTTAATTATTAAGAAGAGAAAATGGCACTCTAAAAAGGTATAATATAAAGTTGACTGAAAATTGTTTCATTGGCAATTCCAATTCATCAAAGTTAAGGAATAAACAGGGAAATGGAACACGAGTCATGAAGCTCATGAGTAACTCGCATACTAATGTTGTGCGTGGGTGTGTGTGTGTGTCTGTGTGGTGTGCATGCGCGTTTGTGTGTGTGTGTATGTTCGTGTGCGTGTGTGTCTATGTGTGTTTGTGTGACCTTGTCTAGGAATCCATTAAAACAAAAATGAAAAAAAAAGTCTAGGGGACCAAACCGAGGACAAACATGAGATCTATACATTCACTTAGAGGACACAAAGCAGACCCAAGTACGTCCTCGATTTCTAGGTCCTCGGTTATACAAAGAGGAGTTGGGGAGACAGAGCCTTTACAGCTGCTGCACCCCGGTTATGGAACTCACTACCCCATTCAATCAAAATGTCAGCCAATCAAAATGTGTTCAAAAAACAATTGAAAACCTATCTAATGTCTGAATTCCTTAGTTAAGACGTAGTGTATTTCAAAATATGATGTAATTAACGTTGTTGAATTATATTTAATTATGTTAAATTATTTTCGTTCAATGTACTTACCTTGTTAGGCGCCTTGAGCATCTCTTGGGGTGGATATGTGCGCATTATAAATGTTGTTATTATTATTATTATTATACAGCATATTTCACACCTTTCCTAACATTCCTAAAAGAGTATTTTGGGGGTACTAAGTAACATACAAATGGTCCTTGATTCTCACCAGAAACGCGTGTGCGTTCGGAACTGAAAAACATTGTTCTAACTCGATACCTTGCATTCAAAACTTCAAACAAAATGTGTGCCTTTTACAATTCAAAGGGTGTTGAACATTCAATAACTTCTGGCCGATGGACCAAATATTCCAAATGTCCACGACACTGACAATGCAAAGATTTGACGAAAGATTTTTGTTATGAAGATAAGAATATGAAAGAGTGATGCAAAACAAG